CGCGATTTTCGCGTCTAGCGGCCAAAAACCATGCGATTTTCGCAGCTGGCGTGCAAAAATCGCGATTTTCGCCGCTACCGACCAAAAATAGCGCGATTTTCGCGTCTAGCGGCCAAAAACCATGCGATTTTCGCAGCTGGCGTGCAAAAATCGCGATTTTCGCCGCTACCGGCCAAAAATAGCGCGATTTTCGCCGCTTGCGGCCAAAAACCGTGCGAATTTCCCTGCTAGCGGCCAAAATTCGCGCGATTTTAACCGCTAGCGGCCAGAAACTATGCGATTTTTGCAGCTGGCGGGCAAAAATAGCGCGATTTTCGCCGCTACCGGCCAGAAACTATGCGATTTTTGCAGCTGGTGGGCAAAAATAGCGCGATTTTCGCTGCTACCGGCCAAAAACCGCGCGATTTTCGCCGCTAGCGGCCAGAAACTATGCGATTTTTGCAGCTGGCGTGCAAAAATCGCGATTTTCGCCGCTACCGGCCAAAAATAGCGCGATTTTCGCCGCTTGCGGCCAAAAACCGTGCGGTTTTCGCCGCTAGCGGCCAAAAATCGGGCGATTTTTGCCGCTAACGGCCGAAAACCGCGCTATTTTCGACGCTAGCGGCCAGAAACCATGCGATTTTTGCAGCTGGCGGGCAAAAATCACGCGAATTTCGCCGCTACCTGCCAAAAATCGACCGATTTTCGGCGCTAGCGGCCGAAAAACGGGCAATTTTCGCCGCTAGCGGCCAAAAATGGGGCGATTTTCGCCGCTAGCGGCCAGAAATTATGCGATTTTTGCAGCTGGCGGGCAAAAATAGCGCGATTTTTGCCGCTACCGGCTAAAAACCGCGCGATTTTCGCTGCTAGCGGCCAAAAACATGCGATTTTCGCAGCTGGCGGGCAAAAATTGCGATTTTCGCAGCTGACGGGCAAAAATCGCGATTTTCGCCTATAACCGACTAAAAATAACGCGATTTTCGCGTCTAGCGGCCAAAAACCATGCGATTTTCGCAGCTGGCGTGCAAAAATCGCGATTTTCGCCGCTACCGACCAAAAATAGCGCGATTTTCGCGTCTAGCGGCCAAAAACCATGCGATTTTCGCAGCTGGCGTGCAAAAATCGCGATTTTCGCCGCTACCGGCCAAAAATAGCGCGATTTTCGCCGCTTGCGGCCAAAAACCGTGCGAATTTCCCTGCTAGCGGCCAAAATTCGCGCGATTTTCGCCGCTACCGGCCAAAAACCGCGCGATTTTCGCCGCTAGCGGCCAAAAACATGCGATTTTCGCAGCTGGCGGGCAAAAATCGCGATTTTCGCCGCTACCGGCCAAAAATAGTGCGATTTTCGCGTCTAGCGGCCAAAAACCATGCGATTTTCGCAGCTGGCGTGCAAAAATCGCTATTTTCGCTGCTACCGGCCAAAAATAGCACGATTTTTGCCGCTTGCGGCCAAAAACCGTGCGATTTTCGCCGCTAGCGGCCAGAAACCATGCGATTTTCGCCGCTACCTGCCAAAAATCGACCGATTTTCGCCGCTAGCGGCCAATAAAGGGGCTATTTTCGCCGCTAGCGGCCAAAAATGGGGCGATTTTCGCCGCTAGCGGCCAGAAATTATGCGATTTTTGCAGCTGGCGGGCAAAAATAGCGCGATTTTCGCCGCTACCGGCTAAAAACCGCGCGATTTTCGCCGCTAGCGGTCAAAAACATGCGATTTTCGCAGCTGGCGGGCAAAAATCGCGATTTTCGCCGCTACCGGCCAAAAATAGCGCGATTTTCTGTGTCGTATTTTCTGTGAAGTTTATAAGACTAGGTTAACACTATAGTAGGGCTATCCTACTGAGGGAGTAGAGACTTCGTACTGTCAAGTCTTGCCAAGAGTTAACCAAGAGTGTTTACCACCCTTAATGTCAGTGGCAGTGGCATTACTAAATGCAATATACGAGGAAGGTGTTGTATGGAGGGGAAGGCGAGTCAATCTAGTTTGGAACTAAATTCTGGGGTCTATGAACACCTCCAAACATACCCAATCATCCAGGTTATGGGTTCAGGATAGCAGCATCATCTAACAGCCTGGTCAGAGACCGAGCTGCAAAAACAATGTGCCCAGCAGTACAAATCACATTTAATTAAATAAGGTAGGATAAAATGCCAGTATTTGAGGTAGCAATTTAGTATTGAAATTCAAAGTACGAGTCAAGAATCAGCGCAAAGTGTCATCAGAAAGCGAGCTCTTAGATCAGAAGACCAAGTGGTGATGGGCAATGCATCGTTTTATTCCGTCGTTGATGTTCAGTGGTCTATAATATTTTCATAACGTTTTACTACCTCCCTTGAGTAATGGAGCTATTTCTGCTGATTTAAGTGCTGCTGGTATCTCCCCTGTATCCAAGCTCTTTCTCCATATTACACTGAATACTCACAGTACTGGTACGTTACAGTTCTTTATGAATACTGTACTGAATTTCACAAGTCAGGACTAGGGGCCGAGTGCATGAGCATGTTATCAAATTTTTTTTCAAATTCTTCCAAGTTCGTGTTAATATCGGTTATATTATTTGTAGCTTGGATGTCGTTCATAAATACTGTCAGGATCTTCAACTTCAATGTTTATTGGGGTGCTAAACATATTCTCATACTAGCCTTTTAGGATTTCACCAATTTCTTTGTTATCCTCTGTGTACAAACCTTCAGTTGTAAGTAAAAGTCCAATACTGTACTGGAGGAGGTTTTTGATTTTGCATATGTGGAAAAATATTTTGGATTTTTCTTCATATCTTGTATAGCTTTCTGTTCTAATTCCATTTCCTCAGACTCGTATGATCGCTTCAACGTTTGTTCTATTTCTTCAATCTACACAGGCATGGAAAGGCTTCAGTTAACACTTTGGCCCGGTAATGACGCAGCATTGCGTGATTTTTGGCGGCAAATTGGCGACGGTTTCGGGAGGGCCGCACCGCAGTTTTGGACATTACATGCAAACACACCTGTAGGGAATTTCATTGTGAATACAATGATACCAAAATGAAAGACCTAGGACCAGAATTGAGGTAACAAAGTTGAAAAGAGTATACCCATTTTATTGCTCTATATTAGTGCTCACTGCGGTAACGCACCGTCACGTTCTCTGTTTGCTGTGGGTGGGACGCCGGGGTTTTGGACTTTATATTTGCATATACTCCTGTAGGGAATTCTATTGCGAGCACAATGATACCAAAATGAAAGATCTAGGACAAGAATTGAGATGTCTAAAGTGAAGAGAGTGTACACATTTTATTGCTCTTGCACGCTCCCGGGTAACACGCTCTCACTTTCTCGCCGGGCTTTTGGGCTTTATATGCATTTAGTCCTGTAGAGAATTCTATTGCGAACACATCGATACCAAATTGGAAAACCTAGGACGAGAATTGAGATGACAAAGTTGAAGAGAGTACACACATTTCGGTATGACCGCGCGCTCTATTGTAATAAGAGGCGCCTTGGGGTGGTGCAGCACTCTTTCGGGTAACTTTCATCTTGTTGGCGGGTGGAGTGTGCCGCTGTTTTTGACATTATATGCATATATTCCTGTTGGGAATTCTATTACGAACACATTGATACCAAAATGAAAAACCTAGAACGAGTATTGAGGTGACCAAAGTGAAAGGAGTGTACACATTTTATCGGTGTTGTACGCTCCCGGGTAACACGCTCTCACTTTCTCTGTTTGTTGCAGATGGTACGCTGGGCATTTAGACTTTATATGCCTTTAGTCCTGTAGAGAATTCTATTGCGAACACATTGATACTAAAATGAAAGACCTAGGACGAGAATTGAGGTGACCAAAGTAAAAGGAGTGTACACATTTTATCGGTCCTGCGTGCTCCCGGGTAACATGCTCTTACTTTCTCTGTTTGTTGCGGATAGTACGCTGGGTATTTGGACTTCATATGCCTTTAGTCCTGTAGAGAATTCTATTGCAAACACAATAATACCAAATTGAAAAAACTAGGGCGAGAATTGAGGTAACAAAGTTGAAAAGATTACACACTTTTCAGAATTACCACGCACTCCCGCGGAATGCCCAAACCCACCCGGGGTAGTGTGACGCATGTGCACCCAGAACATCAAAGTGTTAAGTGTCAGCACTGGACAACAAGGCCAAGATACAGAAGCAAATGTTAATTCATAGTGTCTATCAATGTAGAACCATAGTAGGAGTATCAATGTAAGTTTTTAGCAGTTCAGCAGGGGGTACCTGACCTCTCCCACAGGTATTTGCAGCATAATCATGAGCCCCACTTTTGTCACAGGTTATACTGTGGGCACTGGATGAGGGAATTCCTGTACTCCACTGAGAAGAGTTGCCGGGAACATCTGTTCCAGTTGGCCAAGAGAGCGAAGTATGGCTGGATAATAGGTCATCTTTAGAGTTTCTCACTCTACTGCACTTAGGAGGATACCCCATGGCGAGTTGACTACTTCAGGTTTTCGACTGGATTTCCTCTATGGTTATGATAAGAGAGGAAACGTACTGTCACAATTTCCATTTGTATTATAATTCACGTTCTCCACATTGATAGAATGGGTCAAATCTTAAATTTTTTTAAGTAGAAAATATACACGAATGCAATGATGGACTGCTGATTGATTAAGTTATTTGGGGCGGGAAGGTAATACCCAAAATGGCCTAGTCGGAAGGGAATTTGTTCTCGTGAGGACAGAACTGTGTTAAAGTCTATCAAAATGGTTTAAGTACAGGGTACAGATTTGTGTGTGTGGCCCGTCTTGTAGCTGTGCCCGTTCATCTCGACAGCATTTTTAGTATAGCTAAAACTTGAATTAGAGATGCAAACAGGTCAGAGAGACATCAGGAAGAACTTTTGCAAAACAGACTGGTAGATGGTTGGAACAAGTAAGAAGGCAGTGGATGCCAAAACTCTCATTAATTTCAAAGTGACAGTACAGGGAAGACAGGACACTAAGCGTAGCTCTCATCCTGTTACATGGAACCTGTAATATTGTCCGGGTTATTAAAACATTCCTGAAGAAATTATTTATTTAAAAAACTAGTAAAAGTTGTATAATGATAGAGAAAAAGCATCATATATTAAAGCAAATAATTTTCTAAATAAGAAATGAAGATTTAGACAGCATATTCAAGAAAAAATCTAATAAGATATAGACATAGTACCGTTATCTTTAATTTCTTTGATAGCATTTATTATATCAGCCATGAGGTGTAAATATGTAAATAAAATATGACTGTATATTTCTAATTAGTGTAACTATACATCCTATTCTGATATCTCGGGTAGCTAGTCCTCAAGTACCTGTATGTATAAAGGCATTAGGAGATGAACACAGTTTGAGAACCTTAATTATATTATTGAGCTAGGCAATAGCAGTCGACACAGAGCAATGGATTTACAAATCGGCAAACAAAATCTATTCACATTTTCAGAAAAGTATTTTCAAATTTTTGTGATGTTTAACCAGGTCCTCTGCCCTAAAAAGAAATTTGGGTTTAATTATATTTTCACCATGAAATTTGTTTTAAAAATCAAAACAAAATACAATGGCACAGCTGAAAAGAGCAGGTGTTTTTTCAAACTAGAAATGAGAATTTAAACATTTTATGATGACATTTCGATCCTCGGTAGGGACTGGGCTAAAATTAGTACTGCACCTAAAGGGGTTGAAGTAAAAAGGTTCTATAATATCAACTTTAGGCATAGTGAAATGACCCACCTAACACCATTTTTGCATTTTCTGGTAAAGTTTTCGAATATGCACAATGCAGCCAGAGAAGTTGTTAGTTTCATTGAGTTTGTTCTCTAGTTCTTGTAGATTGGAAATTTCCGGAACTGAACGAAGAAGACGATACTTTTGCCCCTCAATCGTCAGTTCCAGTATGTATTCTTCATTGGGCTTGGATCGATTCACCTGTAACAGATGAATGCCGTATTTTATTTAATATACAGTAACTAGCAATTCCCCACCTGTAAATACTCATTGGCAATACAGCCATCACACCCCCTATATTTTAATATTCTTTAAATATACCCTCATATATATCAACACTGTACATATATTCTTATAACCACTGTTCTTAAACACTAGCATCAACAATTCTGTAGCAGTATTAATATAAATTTCTTTTTAGCTTTTAACCACTGAACTGTGCCAACCGAGTATTCTCAGTCTGTGGGAAACTGCGCCAACTGAGAAAACTCTTTTTTTATTTTTTCGCACCCCATTCTAAATGTGCGCGAGGTTGGTTGTGTGCGAAATGGACTCTTAGGACCTCCAGTGAGAGGCAGCCATCTTTAAAAAAAATTCCCAGAATGCCCTAGGGCTGCTGGCTGGGTTAGTACCAAGTGAGCAACCATGGGAGGCACACGCACCTCTGGCTCTCAAACACCTGTCCGACTGCAGTGTTGAAAGATCGCACGCTGTCAGAGAAATTCAAACCTTATTGTTTGAAGAACATAAGGGTCATAATATTGGTGAAGTTAGGCGCAATAAGGACCTAACACAAAGGTCGGATGCAAGTGATACAGCACCTATGAGGACGATGCAGAAGGCGTATCCAGTTGTAGCTTTAAGCACCACCCTTACCCACCTATGCCGTCTCCAATTTATATAGATGAAACAGATAAATCGTTTTCTGTGTTCAGTGATGATGCATCTGATACAAGTAGCATAGATGAACAGTGTTACCAGCTTCCATGGTAGTGTTTTCCATAGATATTTTCAGGAATAGCTGAATCTCTTCCAGAATGGCTTAATTTCTTCCAGAATACCTGAATTTCTTCCAGTGAGGGGAGCATTACAAAGCGATCTTTTCAAGACAACCTTACAAATTGATCTTTTCCTATAATCTTTTCAAGACTACCTTGCACTTCACAAGCTTACCTTGAGGTGATTTTAAGGCTTAGTGACCCAGCGGCCCGGTCATCGACCAGGCCTCCTCGTTGCTGGACTGGTCAACTAGGCAGGCTGTTGGACACGGCTGCTCGCAGCCTGACGTACGAGTCACAGCCTGGTTGATCAGGTATCCTTTGGAGGTGCTTATCCAGTTCTCTTGAACACTGTGAGGGGTCAGCCAGTTATGCCCCTTATGTGCAGTGGAAGCGTGTTGAAAAGTCTCAGGCCTCTGATGTTGATAGAGTTCTCTCTCAGAGTACCTGTTGCACCTCAGCTTTTCAACGAGGGTATTCTGCACATCCTGCCATGCCCTCTGGTCTCATGTGATGTTATTTATGTGTGCAAGTTTGGGACCAGCCCCTCTAATATTTTCCATGTGTAAATTATTATGTATCTCTACCACCTGCACTCAAGAGAAATACAGATTTAGGCTCTTTAGTCGGTCCCAATAGTTTAGATGCTTTACCGAGTGGATTCTAGAAGTAAAGGTTCTCTGCACTCTCTCCAGGTCAGCATTTTCTCCAGCTTTGAAAGGGGCTGTCATTGTGCAGCAGTATTCCACTCTAGAGAGCACTAGCGTCTTGAAAAGTATCATCATTGGTATAGCATCTCTAGTGTGAAAGGTTCTTGTTATCCAACCTGTCATTTTTCTTGCAGTTATGACGGCTACTTTATTGTGTTCTTTAAATGCAAGGTCTTCCGACATGAGTACACCCAAATCCTTTTCCTGGTTGATGGGGTTCTGGGAGTTCTTCTACTCCCCAAGCCCAGCCCGAGGCCAGGCTTGACTTGTGAGAGTTTGGTCCACTAGGCTGTTGCTTGGAGCGGCCCACTGGCCCACATACCCACCACAGCCCGGTTGGTCCGGCACTCCTTGGAGGAATAAATCTTGTTTCCTCTTGAAGATGTCCACGGTTGTTCTGGCAATATTTCTTATGCTTGCTAGGAGGGTGTTGAACAACCGTGGACCTCTGATGTTTATACAGTGTTCTCCGATTGTGCCTATGGCACCCCTGCTCTTCACTAGTTCTATTCTGCATTTTCTTCCATATCGTTCACTCCAGTACGTTGTTATTTTACTGTGTAGATTTGGTACTTGGCCCTCCAGTATCTTCCAGGTGTATATTATTTGATATCTCTCTCGTCTTCTTTCTAGTGAGTACATTTGGAGGGCTTTGAGACGGTCCCAATAATTTAGGTGCTTTATCGCATCTATGCGTGCCGTATATGTTCTCTGTATTCCCTCTATTTCAGCAATCTCTCCTGCTCTGAAGGGGGAAGTGAGTACTGAGCAGTACTCAAGACAGGACAACACAAGTGACTTGAAGAGTACAACCATTGTGATGGGATCCCTGGATTTGAAAGTTCTCGTAATCCATCTTATCATTTTTCTGGCTGTCGCAATATTTGCTTGGTTATGCTCCCTAAACGTTAGGTCGTCAGACATCATTATTCCCAAATCCTTTACATGCTGTTTTCCTACTATGGGCATATTTGATTGTGTTTTGTACCCTGTATTATGTTTAAGGTCCTCATTTTTACCATACCCGAGTACCTGGAATTTATCACTGTTAAACATCATGTTATTTTCTGATGCCCAGTCAAAAACTTTATTAATATCAGCTTGCAGTTTTTCAATGTCTTCAACTGAGGAAATTTTCATACTGATTTTTGTGTCATCTGCAAAGGATGATACGAAGCTGCGACTTGTATTTTTGTCTATATCTGATATGAGAATAAGGAAAAGCAGCGGTGCAAAGACTGTACCCTGAGGTACAGAGCTTTTAACTGCGCTCGGACTAGATTTTATATGGTTGACTATTACTCGCCGAGTCCTGTTTGACAGAAAACTGAGTATCCTGCGTCCTACTTTACCGGTTATTCCCATTAACTTCATTTTGTGTGCTATCACGCCATGGTCACATTTATCGAAAGCCTTTGCGAAGTCCGTGTATATCACATCAGCATTCTGTTTTTCTTCTAATGCCTCAGTGACTTTGTCATAGTGCTCAAGTAGCTTTTCGTTCTACGTTATGATTTGACTGTTTTGTACGTGGTTTCCGTTTTTATATTTTCATTTTTTCCGTAGCACATGAGCTGGAACTTATCTTCGTTAAACACCATATTATCTGAAGCCCATAGAAAGACCCGATTTATGTCTGATTGGAGGTTTGCCGTGTCCTCTATGTTGTCTACTCTCATAAAAATCCTAGTGTCATCTGCAAAGGATGATACAGTACTATAGGTTGTGTCCTTGCCTATGTCCAATATGAGGGCGAGAAAAAGTACCGGAGCATGCACAGTATCCTGGGGGATTGGAAGGTCAATACATCTTTGTTCCCATAGAGTCTGCGATGCATGGCCTCTGGGGCAAGAGTGCCTTGGGATTTCTCAAGGAATTGGGCTCCAAGCTCATTGACGTTACCAGGGACCCAAGAGCTGCCAGTTTTTTGTTTCAGCGCCTCAGTGTGGCGATTCAGAGGGATAACGCCTGCTGCATCCTCGGTTCTAGTCCTGAAGCGGAAGAGCTTCAAGAGATCCATAACCTTTAAGCACTCTTTGTATCAACCAATGTATATCTTGTAACCCTTAAACATATAATAAAAGAACAAATAATTGAAAATATATTTGTGGCAACTCGAGGTGCTTGAATGGCCCGCATGACCACCTCTGGGAGCTTCACGCACGGGCAACCAGTGACGCCCCCTTCTCCACGTCCCCACAGCCAAAGTGAATTTTTTTTTTTTTTTTTACATGTTCAGGGAAGGAAATTTATCATTTTACAAAGATAAAAAAAAATGTGAACACTTGATTTTATGCAAACGGGGGGATGTTATAATAAACTCTTTACTTATTTTTACTAAATTTTACTTATAAAATGGGTCCATTCAGGTCACTGCTAGTTTGCCAGGCTTTGGTTGACTAATCAGTAGTCTTCATATGAAGCCTTTTTTGAGATTTTCTACCCTCCAAGCCTGGCTCAGGTACAGGTATGTTTGGTGATAACTTGCTCCATCAGGTCCACACACTGAACACAACTATGCTGATCTAGAACTTTCTGCATAAATGTGTCCATTTTCTTCTTGAAAACTTCCACTTCTGTTATGGCAATATTTCTTATACTTGGTGGAAGGATGTTCATGTTGCTAGCAATTCCCATATATAAAATAAACATTAAGATATAAATATACAAGCCTACCATTATTAGGCTTGATAGTAATGGTATTACTAACCATTTCACTTACCTGAGTGAATATGAAGAGAAGGGTATTGCGGTTGGTGCATTTCATGTTTAATCCAAGATGGGACTGGAACAGCAACGCACCACGTTCTATGTTGCTCATGGATTCCTGCAACATACAATTACAATGAGAAACGCTTGTCAACTATTACTAAATGTGCTTCATGGCATGAAGAAAACAATTCTCAAAATGCATTTGTTATACAGATGTTAGTTAACTTATTCATCAGTGTTTGATAATACAGAGATTCAAGTAGACCAAATACAGCTTAGCTGGATGAAGTTTTGGGACACATTCTTATATGCAATATAGTCGACTCCTGGTTTTGTTCAGTGTGATTTGGAACGATTTGTGTTTTCGTCGATAAAAATGTAAAACACATTTCAGTGAAGCATGGTTATATGCCGTTTTTGTGTTATTATAAATCATAATTTATCAAACTTTTTCATAATTTTTTTATTTCTTAAATGCTTATACAATATATAGAATTGAACTGAATACAAAATTTTCAATAAAGAATCTGCTGTACTATTCCTGTCTGGAATTTCAAAAGCTGGGTCAGTGCACTCTGCACCATCTTTCCTTTTTTTGAGATATATACAAGAGTTGTTACATTCTTGTACAGCCACTAGTACGCGTAGCGTTTCGGGCAGGTCCCTAGAATACGATCCCCTGCCGCGAAGAATCTTTTTTTCATCCAAGTACACATTTTACTGTTGCGTTAAACAGAGGCTACAGTTAAGGAATTGCGCCCAGTAAATCCTCCCCGGCCAGGATACGATTTACTGGGCGCAATTCCTTAACTGTAGCCTCTGTTTAACGCAACAGTAAAATGTGTACTTGGATGAAAAAAAGATTCTTCGCGGCAGGGGATCGTATTCTAGGGACCTGCCCGAAACGCTACGCGTACTAGTGGCTGTACAAGAATGTAACAACTCTTGTATATATCTCAAAAAAAGGAAAGATGGTGCAGAGTGCACTGACCCACCTTTTGAAATTCCTGACAGGAATAGTACAGCAGATTCTTTATTGAAAATTTTGTATTCAGTTCAATTCTATATATTGTTTAAGCATTTAAGAAATATAAAAAATTTGATTTTGATTTTTCCCGATTACAGTATACAGTACAGTATTTCATTAACAATCATTTTAGTCAACTGCCAACAGGCCACCAACAATTCTGTACAGTACATACATTCTTATAATCAGTGTTCTTAAAACTCTCACTCTCACACTCTCACTCACTCTCTTTTACTCTCTTTTACTCTTTCTCCCACTCTCAATATACACACCTAATACAATATGATTATGGTAAATTACAAAATATGTACTGTATCATGAATATTACAAGATAATACTAGTACTACAGTACTATTAATAACACTTTGGCTCGGTAACAACTCAGCATTGCGTCGTCCGTTAAAACCTGTGCCCAGCATTCGCACTTTGCTGTGGGAGGGGCGCGCTGCGGTTTTGGACCTTATATGCCTTATATATAAGTCGTAAAGAGTATACACATTTTATTGTGCTTGATTAGCGATCACGGGAGTAATGCGATGTCACTGTTTGCCGTGGGTGGTACGTCGGGCTTTTGGAGTTTATATTTACCAGCTGGAGGTGGGAGTAATGGAATACCCGCTGGAGGGAGGGGGGAGTAATGGAATACCCGCTGGGGGGAGGGGGGGGAGTAATGGAATACCAGCTGTGGGAGCAATGGAATACATGATTCACCAGGATGGTACACAGGCTTTATACACACTGCCTACGGTGAGGTAGACACATGACACCAGGATGGTACACAGGCTTTATACACACTGCCTACGGTGAGGTGGACACATGACACACCAGAACAGCTTGTCTTTGTCTACATCTCTTGCCACTTGTGCTCAGTTACACATACGCCATTAACAACCATCAGCAATTTACCTTTGTGCTTTTCTCTGTGTTCACCACCACCTCCTCCTTTTCTTTCACTCTTTTCTTAAGTTCATCTAGTTTCTCCTTTAGCTCATCTCTCTCTGTGATCTGGAAAGTAATAAGTTATTTAGTTTTGTGTTAAATTTCTTAATCTTTAAAGACAATAAAATGTCTTAAAGATTAAATGAAACACTACTTTCTGAACACCAGCATTAACTTCCTTAAGCTTAGGCCACCCATACACAAGGGACATTTAAGAAACGCTAAGCTACAGTGAAAATTTTGACTCGCCAGGATCCATCACAATATCACAATGACTTGTCCCATCAACAGAGCAGGATGCATATGTGGGAGATCACAGATCTACCCACTGCCAGAATGAACCACATGCTTAAATCAAATTGAAGTCATAAAATACCCAATCTCCTTCTCTCAAATGTTGGATCACAGAACAGAACCTCTCAAAAAGTAAACAACTCATCACATTAACTCCTCAAAATGCCACAGGATGGAGGCCTGAGTAACTCGGGGCTAATGCCCACTCACTTGAGCTGGTCAGTAGAACAATGGTCTCGCTTCATGCAGGTCGGCATTCAATCCCCGACCGTACTACAAGTGGCTGGGCACCAGTCCTTTTCCCCCCCACCCCCCCATGTCCCATCAAAAATAACTATCCTGATCCTTTCCCAGTGCTATATAGTTGTAACTCCTGTGTTGGCTATCCACATCCCCCACTTCTGTGGCTGATGCGAGACCTGGCGGTCATGAGACTTTGGCTTCAGACTTGTTTCAGTGCTGTGCCTTGTGGTGTGGTCCTGTCCTCGGTGGTGTGCGAGCTAGGAGTAATTTCACCGGTACTCAGGCTGCATGCACCTAGGGTTCTCTTCCCTAAGTGCCCTGTAAGTACTGCCCTTACTTACAGGGGTAACAATAATAGAGGCACTAACAACAACTATAGGGGGTAAGAATAACAACTACAGGGGTAATAATAATACTGTAACACCTATTGGGGTAATAACGGGGGAGGGAACAATGACAAATTTTTTTCAGAACAGCAGGAACAGGGTGGATCCAGACACACCAAGACGGGACCGGGGATCTGAGGAGCAACACCACCACCAGGCAGCAAGACAACCCCGACAACAACAGAGTGGCAAGATGGAAGGCAAAGAAGGATCAGTCGCAACGGGATACCAGACAGAAGGAGGGACGACCAAGACAGTCATCTCCGAGGTATCTCTCACAGAAAATGAACGAACCCTGCTGGAGAAGGGACTTTCATTTGTAGTAGGCCCACCAGCCAGGAAGATATGATGGAAGACAATAGGGATCCTCTGCACAAACCTGGAGAGTCATATCAACCAGGTTTGGAGCAAACTCCAGCAATAGCAAGGCAAGTTACAACAGGCACCAAAAATTTAAAAATCTTGATTACAAATACTTACCTGCACCCAGGGAGAATAAAACAATAATCAGCCTACAACCTGGATGGGCTTAAGAGAAGCCATACAGCAGATAAAAACGGACCTTAAAAGGAGAAACGGCCACTAGGAGCATCTGTAACCTACCGAAAGAGGAGAGAGAAGCCTTAGCCGGACTCAAGCTGCGGATGGATATCGTCATCAAATTAGTGGACAAGGGAGCAGCAGTTGTAGTGTGGAATAAAGAAAAGAACATTCTTGAAATGGAATGTCACCTAGTAGATGGAATCTCGTACCACAACACTGAAAACCAGGAAGTTGCACTGCGGAATGCTCACATTCGGAGTCGGCGGATAGTAATCACTCTGAGAACATTTACCAGGGCAAGAGAGGAGGCCTCATACAAGCCACAACAAATCTACATACCTACATAGCACAGAAGAAACCCTGGATCCCCAGCTAAAAAACCTGTGGGACATGTACAGGGATAGGGGGGGGGGGGGAGGGGTACCCAGAAGATATTTTGCACACAGCTCAGGCAAAACTGCAAAGGAAGACAAGGGCCCAACTCCTTGAACCACCTAGGCCGAGGACTGTGGACAAGAGATGGATTCTTCCCACCCTGTTTTTTCCAGGCTTAGCGAAACGACTCAAGATGATGTCGGTAGTCTGGTCCTTGTTGAGAGAGACCTACGAGGAACACCCCCTCGTGGCCAGAATTTCCTAAGGATCCACCCATGATCGCATGGAAAAAAAAAAAAAAGAGGTGAATCATTGAGAGATCATCTAGTTAGGGCGGGCCCCTGCCCGTTGGCCTAGTCAAGGTGAACCAGAGAACAAGTGTAGGTATAGATACAACCAAACTAACCTAACCTGACACAGGAGGGCAACATCCTCCTCCTGTAGTTTTAGAGAGTCTGAGTACTTAGAAGGGCCTATATTACACACCTGGCACCTGTATTCTTTAGTACACTTGACAACTATGATCTTCAAGCACCAGCCAAATACAAACCTTTTCACTGATTGCCACATTAATGAGCTCCAGGTCTTGCATCAGCTGTTGAATCTCTTGTTCCACCCGATCTTTGTCCCCATGGACATTGCTGATGTTTATACGTATGCTCTCTACTCTCTTCTCTAATTCTGCTATATCATCTGAGAACAAAATTGTATGTACAGTATGTAGTAAACCTAGTATGCAATGGGGCATTTTTGCCTAATAACCAGGACACACTTCTTATTTTCTTGTATCTGCAAAACATTGCATGCAATTAATGAAATTAGCATTACAGTGCAACCTCGATTCAACAAACTATGAGACCAACCCCAATTTATGTTGCAGCGAGGGATTTTTTGCAATCACGGACTGCTACCAGATAGGGGTCTGGTAGCCGAGTGGACAGCGCGCAGGACTAGTAATCCTATGGCCCGGGTTCGATTCCCTGCACCGGCAGAGACAAATGGGCAGAGTTTCTTTCACCCTGATGCTCCTGTTACCTAGCAGTAAACAGGTATCTGGGAGTTAGACAGCTGCTACAGCTGCTTCCTGGGGATGTGTGTGTATGGGGGCAGATAAAACAAAATTAGTAGTTAGTAACAGTTGATTGACAGTTGAGGTGGGCCAAAAGAGCAGAGCTCAACCCCCTCAACAAGCACAATTAGGTGAATACAACTAGGTGAATACAGATGGTTCCAGGAGGCCCATATTTATGAACATACACTGGGAAATCTCAAAATTAAAATGAACCATAGAAATTGGTTTTAAATGTGGTCAATGGCTTTCCCAAGGCCCCCAACTCTCTTTCTTCTAATGTTGCACCCAACATCAAAAATCATTAAAAACATGAATGGAGTCATATTAAGAGTAACCATTTATACCCTCATGTTTACCATGCTCTATGGGGTGACTTCGTTGAGTGAAATTTTAATTTCAACCTGTCATATGAAGGAAACCTACCAAGAGAACCTGTCTGTAGAGATTTTATTCACAACTAGCATATTTCCCATGCCCTTTCCTCAAAACCTCGTTTTCAGAGAGAAACGAGCCAATATATAAGAACGAAAACCAGGAAATCTCAAAATAAAAACAAACCATAGAATCTGGTTTAAATGTGCTCAATGGCTTTCCCAAAGCCCAAACTCTTTCTTGTACTGTTGTGCCCATCTTCAAAAATCATTAAAAATATGATTAGAGGCATATTTACAGACCTGCCATTCATACTCTAATATTTCCCATGAACTACAGGCTAATTTAACAAAAGAAATCTTTAATTTTAACCTATGATATGCTGGACAAGTTTTCCGCCATTCTGTGAACTCGGCCCCAACATCCTAAGGAAATCCGCACATCTCCCACTTCAGCAAACAAGAGTTCGTGGAATCAGGCAAGTATATCTGGCCTGGAAAGTGTGTTCCAAATGGAAATTTGCCGAATCAAAGGTTCGTTGAATCAAGGTTCCACTGTACAATATATTGGTTACATTAATAATTAATTTAAGCCTAGTTTGACCTATAGGAGAAGTTTAGGAATAACAGACATATATAGCTATGTCTGGTTGATAAGTTAATTTGGGGTCAAATTAAAAGTTTTGAATATCATTTACTGCATATTAATCTGAACACATCAATCAATTAAAAAGTTGAAATAAATTAAAAACTCAATTTGGCATTCTCTCCCATCATCAGTTTGATGATGAAATAGAAAGACAGAAATGATGGCTGTGTCACTGTGCCAGTGAAAGAAAACTCTAAATGTAGAAGAATTAATACTTAACCCATAAGATGTGGACATAGTAATTACCTAGATGTAATTACAGAAAGAGACCTTACCTGGAAATCAATCATATACATAATAACAAGCACACAGTAAGGTTCTCAAATAGGACTGTCATGTGTAAAAATATTTTTTAGCTTTTATAAGCCAAAGAAATGTTACAAGAAAGAGTTGGACCTAAAGAAAACGGCACCGAATGTAATGAAATGACTCTTTGCTTGGGCCTCGGTGACTTCCAGTATATAGCTTACAGAGATAGTGCCACACACACACACACACACACACACACACACACACACACACAAAGGGAAAGGGGGGGAAAGGTCCTAGAATGGATAAGGAACTACCTAACAGGAAGGAGCCAAAGAGTTACGGTAAGGGGCGAGAAGTCGGACTGGCGAACAGTAACAAGTGGAGTACCACAAGGATCGGTGCTGGGACCAATTCTATTTCTTGTATATGTTAACGACATGTTTACAGGCGTAGAGTCCTACATGTCGATGTTTGCGGATGATGCAAAGTTGATGAGAAGAGTTGTGACAGATGAGGATTGCAGGATCCTCCAAGAGGACCTGAACAGATTGCAGAGATGGTCAGAGAAATGGCTACTAGAATTCAACACGAGCAAATGTAAAGTTATGGAAATGGGACTAGGAGATAGGAGACCAAAGGGACAGTACACAATGAAGGGGAACAGCCTACCTGTAACGACGCGTGAAAGAGACCTGGGGGTGGACGTAACACCTAATCTATCTCCTGAGGCACATATTAATAGGATAACGACAGCAGCGTACTCTACACTGGCAAAAGTTAGAACATCATTCAGAAACCTAAGTAAGGAGGCATTTAGGGCGCTTTACACTGCCTACGTAAGGCCAGTCTTAGAGTATGCCGCCTCATCATGGAGTCCCCATCTGAAGAAGCATATAATGAAACTGGAAAAGGTTCAGAGGTTTGCAACGAGACTCGTCCCAGAGCTACGAGGGATGGGGTATGAAGAGCGCCCGAGGGAACTGTGCCTTACGACACTAGAAAGAAGAAGGGAGAGGGGGGACATGATAGGAACGTATAAGATACTCAGAGGAATTGACAGAGTGGACATAGACGAAATGTTCACACGGAATAGTAACAGAACGAGAGGACATGGATGGAAGCTTGAAACTCAGATGAGTCACAGAGATGTAAGGAAGTTTTCTTTTAGCGTGAGAGTAGTGGGGAAATGGAATGCACTTCAGGAACAGGTTGTGGAAGCAAATACTATTCATAATTTTAAAACCAGGTATGATAGGGAAATGGGACAGGAGTCATTGCTGTAAACAACCGATGCTCGAAAGGCGGGATCCAAGAGTCAATGCTCGATCCTGCAAGCACATATAGGTGAGTATATAGGTGAGTACACACACACACACACACACACACACACACACACACACAGGAACAATAACAGGAAAGTGCTAAGGGAAGTGAAAAATCGGATGAGAAAAAGTTGCCCTAGTGTTTACAGTGCAGAGAAGAACATTCAAGATGGCCACTGGCAAGGGGAAAAACAAAACAGAGCTTGATTTTGAGGGATTCAATGAAGAAAGCATTGATATTAGTAGTCTACATAACAAGTTGGTAAATTTAGATACTATAGTGAACTCTCATGTAGAAATAATTAGTAAATTGAAAGAAAGTAATGACCATTTGAATAGCAAAGTTTTATGTCTTGAGGGTTTAGTGAAAGACTTGCGCAAGGATAAGAATCAATTGGAAACAAATTGCAAAGCCATGGAAGAAGAAAATAAACTCTTAAAAATAGCTTTGGAAGAAGTTAAAGTAAATTTAAACATAAATGACTACAATAGGTTAGGCAAGGAAATTCAACAGGAGAAACAGCTTTTGTCAGCACAGATGGAGGAAGTTACACAGGGAATAGAACAGTGCAAGAAAGATATGCAACTCACTTATGCACAAGTGGCCAAGGAGAAGGAAAAAATAGAAGAAGCAGTAAAGGAAGTCAAACACTGCAGCAACCAAGATAAAACAAACATTAGGCTAGAAGTGAGGAAAGAATTGGCATCTAACCCGAAGTTGGTGCAAAACACAGTTGATCGGAGTAAGTCCCTGATCATTTTTGGCTGCAAAGAAAAGGCGATAACATCTAGGTCAGAAAGAGCTGTAGAAGAAGCTAAAGTAGTAGATAAAATTGTTGGCCTCGTGGAAGGTCTTACAAACAGAGAGAATGTGTGCGACTACAGGAGAATAGGCAGGTACGTAAAAGGGAAAGATCGACCTTTGAGGATCACCCTAAACGGTGCCAAACAGATGGAAGAAGTACTAAGGAATGCTAGAAAATTGCAAAGGGATGAGGATGGGAAAGGGTGGTCATTAAGACGAGATCTTTCAAAAGAAGATAGAGAGAAGCTGAAACTGAACCTCGCCGAGGCAAAACATTTAAATGAGAGCAGGAATGAAGAAGAAATAAATTCTTTTTTCTACAAAGTGATAGGGGTAGGCAAACCAGTAAAGTGGTACATAAAGGCAAACCAACAAAATCAATAGAGAGAGGGGGAGTGAAGAATAAGGAGAGGGGGAACAAGTTCCTGAAGATTGCATACACCAACATAGATGGAGTGAGATCGAAGATACTGGAGTTAAGTGATGTAATACAGCTGCAGACACCAGACATTGTTGCACTCACGGAGACAAAACTTGAAGATGTAATTTTAAATGAGGTCATATTCCCAAGGGGCTACTCAATTTGGAGACGGGACAGAAAAATTAGGAAAGGCGGTGGCGTTGCTGTGCTGGTAAAAGAACACCTAAAGGTGAAGGAAATAATGACTGCCAATCCACAAGAAGTTGACATAATAGCACTAGAGATCTGCTATGAGGATGATAAACTAATGATGATAAATGCATATAGTCCACCGCCAAGCAGCACATGGTCAAAGGAGGAGCTAGATAGTAAACGTGAAGGTCTTATAACAATAATGAGAGAGATTATAGCGAGAGCGGATAACGATAGATCACGACTGTTGATAGTCGGTGACTTCAACTTGAAATCCATAGACTGGGAAGCATATGAAGCTAAAACAGAAGATTTTTGGACCTGTAAATTTGTAGACCTCATCCTGGAAACATTCTTGTATCAACATGTTAAACAAGCTACGAGGATGAGGGAAGGGGACGTTCCCTCCATGCTAGATTTGATATTTACCAGGAAGGAGGAAGAGATATTTGACATTCAGTACCTTCCTCCCTTGGGTAAAAGTGACCATGTCTTTTTGGGAATAAAGTATGCAATGCGTTATAAGCTGGAAGAAAATAAGGAGGTTGAAGCAGTTGAAAAACCAGACTTCAGAAGAGGACATTATGGTGACCTTAGAAATTTTTTTAG